ATGCAAACGTTGAGCATTTTAATAAAGTTGCATTACAACCTGCATTTACTCGTGTCCCCCGAAATACCCTAAGACGTTATACACAAACTTCTTATTATAAGTATAGGAGTGGTTTGATTGAATTATTTCGTACTTTTGATGGTCGTGTTAGTTTTACAAGTGATACATGGACTTCTAGTTTTGGCGAACCTTTTCTTTGCATTACTGCTCATTGGGTGGATGATGATTGGTTTATTCAAAAACGTATACTATGTTTTCAAGCTATGGAAGAAAGGCATACCGGTTTTAACATCAAAGTTCGTATTTTGGATTGTTTAAAAGAATTTCACTTGAATAATAAAGTTTTTTCTTTGTCTCTTGATAATGCAACTGCAAACACAAAGTGTATTGACTATTTGAAAAATGACTCCGAGTTGAATTTGTTGTTGGGTGGTAGTCTCTTGCATGTTAGATGTTGTGCTCATATTTTGAATTTGTCTGTTCAAGAGGGTCTCGCTGAGTTGCAACCATTGCTAAACCCAATTAGAACAGTTATAAAATGGATTAGGATTACTCAGTCAGTTAGAAGAAAGTACATAGCTATGTGTAAAGAGAGAGGTCTTAAGAAAAGACAATGGTCTATTGATACCCCTACCCGTTGGAATTCTACTTTCAAGTTGTTGAGTGATGCTATAAAGTATCGTGATATTTTGACCCAACTTTACAATGAGACTCGTGTTGATCCTACTGAGTTAATAACCGAAAGTCATTGGACTAATGCTTCTTTTGTTCGTGATGTTTTAAATGCTTTTGATAGTGCAACTCATATTTTCTCTTATATTTATGAGCCTAACGTTCATTTAGTCATAATTGAGTGTGTTAAAGTTGTTCACACCATCGAAGAACATATGAAGATTGATGGACTTCGTCCCGTTCTTGATAGCATGAAACGTAAGTGGCATACTTATTTTAGTGAATTTCCAATCATTTATGGAATTGCTGCTATTCTTGACCCCGGTGTCAAAGCTGAAGGTTTGGAAAATCTTTTAGAATTTTATTATACAAGTTTAAGTATCGATTATGATGTTAGTGAATATATTAACAAATGCAAATCTGTTTTGGGAGACCTTTATGATCATTATGCATCTATTTATGGTTTTGATTTGGCAACACCAACTACTACTAGCACTTCCGATTCTAGATTTGGTTTTCTTGATAAAGTTATGAAAAAAAAAACACAAAGCATCTACATCATTCTCATCATCATCTTCTTCAACACTTGCTATTAATGATTATTTGTCATATCAACATGAGACCAACAACAACTTTCAAATTATAAAATGGTGGCAAGAACATAAAAAAAGTTTTCCTATATTGGCGAGAATTGCAAAAGATATACTTGCAGTTCCCGCTTCATCTGTTGCTTCCGAGTCTGCTTTTAGTGCAGGTAGAAGAGTGTTAGATGAAAAAAGATCTCGCTTAACTCCGGAAAGCATTCAAATTTGTGTTTGTAAGAAAGATTGGGATCAAGCTGAAAGAAGAACTCAAGGTTTAAAGGAAGACGAAGACGATGAAGATGATCCTGTGATGATATTGGAGTCGTCAACGGATGATGCAGCTTCCGGGGATGATGATGCAACAAACATGGGTGGCTAGAAAAGTCTAAATCAGGTACGCTAAGAACTACGTGGGCTTTGATTCTTTCGGGATACGTAGGCAACTTATTTTTCGAAAATTACAATTTAATTGCAAAATTAAATTTTAGTTTTCTAAAGATAGGTCCAAGCCCCCCCCCCCCCAAATTTCAAAAGAAGTACAATATAAGAAGTACGCTGGCTTTGATTCCTTATTTTATAATATAAGGATACGTAGGCATCTTAATTAAGAGCAAGCCATCAAATTGTTAATTTTGTAAAAATTAAAACACCACACAACCCACCCGACCCTAACCCACGAACCCACCCGACCCTAACCCACAAACCCACCCGACCCTAACCCACCTAACCCACAAACCCACCCGACCCTAACCCACTAACCCACCCGACCCTAACCCACCTAACCCACAAACCCACCCGACCCTAACCCACTAACCCACCCTTCGACCCACCCTAACTCACTAACCCACCTTGACCCGTCTAACCCACGAACCTAGCTCGACCCACCCATGACCCGTCTAACCCACAAACCCAGCTCGACCCACCCACGATCCGTCTAACCCACAAACCCAGCTCGACCCACCCACGACTCGTCTAACCCACGAACCTAACCCTGGTGTGTCCAACTTCTCCGACCCAACCCACGACCCGGCCCACCCTACCCTACGTGTGTCGTGCCGTGTGTCATGAAACCCCAACCCGCGACCCACCTAACCCTAACCCAGCTCGCACGACTCGCACGGTGGACACCTCTACTAGTTACCAATAAAAGGGAAGGGGAACAACAACAACAACAACAACAAAAAGCTAATGTCGTATACTACACATAAAATTGAGGAAAAAATTTTAGAAGATTAATACGAAGTAGATTATTGGAAAACCAAATTTTTATTTAAAATATTGTTTTATGTAATATCAAAAAAAAAAATTGGTCAAGTTTATCAAAAAAATAAAAAAATAAAAAATAAAAATTGGTCAAAGTTGTGGAAAAAAAAAGTCAAATGTATCAATTATTATGATACGGATAGAGTACGTACATCAGTTAATTTTGTAAAACTTAACCCAATTCATCCATTCGAGTAACCCCGTTTTTTAAAGTATTATTCATAACTCCACTACTTGTTTAAAAGAATAACCCCATTTATGCGTTAAGTTAACCCAGCCAATTTGATCATTGTCATAATGCACATAATTTAATTTATTGCTTATATGTGAAGTAGCCACATACTGTTAAATTTCATTCTACAAAATAATACTCTCATTTTCTCACTTCCTCCAAACTCAAGCTCTACTACTTTAATGGTTTCCTTTTCTCTCTTCTCTTTTCTTCCTCCAAACTCAAGTTCCACGATTAGGGACCTTTAATGACATTAAATATTTTGGGCCAAATTGAATTAAATGATGTGATCCTTGAGTTAAAGGGACCTTACGTGTGAGGAGGGTGTTGAAGTATATCCTACTAAATAACACAGGTAAGTGCCCATATTGATGAAAGAAGAGAGAGTTAAACACTTTATAAGGCTAAGGGGTTACTCCTCCTATTGCCATACACCATTTTGTAATGGACCTTCCTTTGAACTTGTAAAGTGGACTCTTTCTCTTGATTTGCGGGTGCAAATCAGATTTGTATTTAACACAGACATTTGAATATATAAGGATAATCATTAATTAGATTAAACTTTTGATTGATCTAGTCATCTGATCACATAGTATCATCAAGAGTCATCCACCCCTCCTAAGTACATAAATTAATTGTGGGCTGAATGAAGATTCAAAACAGTTCCTTATGTATTGGAAGTTTGGAACACACGTTTAATAATTAGGTGATTAAGTCATATGTAAGATATGTAGATATATAGTAGATCGATCCTCAAATCTTCCACTTAAAATAATTGTAAATCTTAGTTGTTGAGATCATGTGAATGTTGTGATGCATAAATCTTATTTGTTTTTTTTTTTTTTTTGGTGTTTAGAGAGCCACAAAGGGCGGGGGTGAGAATCGATCCCAGGATCTCCTGTAATCGGGAGGGAAGCTCTAACCGCTTGAGCTATACCTCACTCTCTGCATAAATCTTATTTGTAGCTCTAGTTAGTTACGGAGTATTTGTTTTTCTCTATACTTATTCATTTTTACTTTGACCATTGATAGTCATAAATATGAAGTTGATAGTTTGAGAATATTAGGGTCAGAATAAAACAAGTAAATAGTGTCAATAATCAATAATTTAATTATTTTTAGACGGAAGTAGTTCAAAGGTGTGTTCGTTAAAGTGTAGCTGTAAATGTAGTTGTTAGCTGTGATAACAGATGTTGGTTGTATGTGTAGCTGTTAATTATCATCTAGATGTTACTGTGAAAATAAATAATCAAGTCTGAGTATTTGGTAACCTAGCTGTTGACTAGCTGTTAGCAAGGGCGGACCCAGAGGGGACTGGTGGAGCCTTGGCCTCCCCTTGGCTCAAGATAAAAACTAAATTTGTTTATAATTAATTGTCATAAAGTTTGGTGTAGAGGAGTTGGTTTTTTTCCATATAATAGTGGACAAGATGTGAAGAGATCAAATTTTGTAACTAACAATATTTGCTTTTTTTTTTTAGCAAATGTCATCAACTTAATAGTTATAAAATTATACATACACATATATGATCTTGCCCCTCCCCCCCCCCCCCTAATAATTCAGGCTTCGCTACTGGCTGTTAGCTGTAAAATTCTACAAATATAAAAGAAAAATTCTAACAGTTACCTAGCTTTTCACATAAGCTAATAAAATTAATTTTTCACAACATCTACTCCAACAACTAAACTCTACTCTCACTACTACATTGCCAACCACTCATATTTTTTACTAAGTAATGATTTGAATAAGTCAAACCACTAAAAGCTACCTAAACGCTACTTAAAAACTAGTGTCTAACACGCCCTAAATTTCATGAGTGTGTTTAATACCTTGTAGTACATGTTTGTCTTTCTCTGAATTTCAACATTTATGTGCTTTACAAATAATAACTTCACTATTTACAATAGATCATTCACAAGTATGGTTGTCAATTCGAGTGTCTATATCGTCGGAGTCAGTAAGGTCAGGTCGGGTCTATTTTAAATTTGAGTCATACTAACTATTGTAACCATATAAGTTAAAATCTGAATCAGAATTATTTTTTTCAAGGTTAGGTCAATAGAATCAGTTTTTCTGCTTCCAATTGCAAGACTCACAACTCATTATAGCACATGCCTCAAAAGGTCAACGCAACAAATTACTTAATGAAATCATGCATGTAGCAATTTTAAGGCATAAGCTTATATTTTATGCTTATATATACTCATGACATTAGTTGATTTAGAATAAACCCCTAGGAGAAAAAACCAACCAATTCTAAAACTCAAAGAAAGAGAAAAACAATTGGAGACATGAGAATCTTAATAAAAATATGCTCAATTATCATGGCAATAATCCCAAGTTGGATTTTAAGCATGCCATTATTCCTATTTCTCAAAAAGAAACAAGAACAAGTGTATAAAAGGGAATTTGTGAACATATTATCATCAGCATTAAAGCTGGATGGTAATATTGAAGGTGATGGTGAGCTACCAAAGGGGCTACAACGCGAATTGATGCCGCGGCATGTGGCTATGATATTGGATGGGAATCGGAGGTGGGCTAAGAAGAGAGGGCTTATACCTGTTGAAGGCTATGAAGCTGGTCTCGCGACTTTAGGGGAGATTATTACTCTGTGTCGAAGATGGAATATTCCTATTATCTCGCTTTTTATGTTCTCATCTGAGAACTGGCTTCGTCCAAAGGTGAGTTTGATTTCTAAGGATTTTTTGTGTTCTTTTCACCTTCATTCTATAAAAGACATATTAGTAAATTTAAATAAATTCAGATAAGAAAATAAAGTCCATGTATTGTTAAGAAAATAAAGACATATACTCTTGGAAATTGTATAAAATTAGGAATTCATGAGAAAAACACGCGTAAATCAGTGTTATTAATGTTTATATTTTGATGATTTCTTAACTTTTTACGATTTTCAAGTGTAAATTTAATGTTTATATGTAGCCCTAAGGGCTATGTATAACATTTAGTTGGGCGCAAATAATGATAGTGGTGTATTGTTAAGAAATTATTAGTTTAAGGTGTTGTCAGTAAACCTTTGTTAGTGAGTCAATTTGTTACGTTGCTAAGATCATAGGATAGTGGAATTATGTTCCTAAGTTTTAGGCTACTCTAGTTATTGAATTTGCTATTTATTCTTCAGTATGTATTAAATATTTTTATGAGAGTATTGAATTAGTCAGAAAATTTGTTGTTTGTTTTATTCTCTCATCACTTTAGTAGTTTTATGTTTAATATTATTAATTCAACAGTTTGTCCAGTGAATGTTAGTACATTATTATGTAAAAGATATAAACTATTCACATTAAGATAAAATAAGATTAAGTATATAACACCTCAATTAATTCGTATATTGTATGTGTTTTTGTTGTTTATACAAGGATGAAGTTGACTTCTTGCTCGAACTTTTCGAAGGATCATTGAAGTACTATCTACTACGCAATTGTCGTAGGTAAAGAGCACCTTATAATTACTTAGAATTTTTATGTATTCATATAGTTAACGTATTTCTATTTTACCAAGTTTAGCAACTGAATTGGACATGCATGCTAAGCTTGAGAATAACTTGAAAATACACGAATTGACCTAATTAAATAAATCTGATCCCACAATAGACCTAATTAAAGTTCTTATATAACCAAAATTTGATATGACCCGACTTTAAAAGATTTGATCTGAATCCAACCAACACACTTGATTTAGTAACTCTTTAGGACATGTTCCGATTTACTGAACTGAATTGATTGGAGCTAAACTGAATTAAAGAGAACAAGTCCTTAGTCTTAATTATGAGAGTGAGGGATAGCTTAAATGGTTAGATATCTCCTCCCGATTTCAGGTGATCCTGGAATCAATTCTCATCTTGTCTTATAAGTAGTAATTGAAAGGCTATACTAACACCCAGACATTCTATTTAAAAATAGTGCGAGTACTCCTGACATCTTGATTAATTATTTTAATGAGGAGTGGTTGCACACTACTCTGTCCATGTTTTAATGAGTGTTTTACTTTTTTCTCTATTCACGTAATGATTATGACTTGATTAATTTACCAATATAAAAAAAATGTCATTGTATAATTTATTGTTGGATTCATTATAATGTATACTTTCGTAATATGAATTCTTCTATAATTTTACTAATATATAATAAGATAAATTAATGGTTAAAGTTGTGTATTCACATGCGTGTTTGGTCAAAGTGTAACACCTATTAAAACACAAATAGAGTATCAGCTTTCACACTCGCTCTCTTTCATGAATATTTGCTTCTATCTTATATATGCAACTTTAATTTCATTTTTTTAAAGTATAACTTTGACCATAAATATTTTTTTAAATCCTTAGAGTTTTCTTGAGCTAACATAATAAAATAAACAGATATGGAGGACGAGTTTCTGTGATTGGAGATAGATCTCCACTATCTGATTCCTTAAGAAAAGCAGTTGAAGAAATCGAAGAAGAAACAAAAGACTACAAAGGGATTCATCTTGTTTTAGCAATGAGTTACAGTGGTCAAAATGATATAGTACATGCTTGTCAAAACATTGCTACCAAAGTGAAGGATGGCCTTCTTCAACCCGAAGATATAACCAAGTCTTTGTTTGAAGAACATCTTCAAACTAATGTTACGGACATGCCATTACCCGATTTGCTCATTCGAACAAGCGGCGAATTACGTATAAGTAATTACTATCTTTGGCAATCAGCTTATAGTGAGATGTATTTCACTGATACTCTTTGGCCTGATTTTGGAGAAGATGAATTTGTTAAGGCATTACGTTCATATCAACAAAGAGGAAGACGATTTGGAAGAGCATGATAGAATCATCTTTAAATCGAAACCCTATGTAATTCGGTCTGGATTTAATTGATTAGTTGTTATGTTACTAGTTGAGAACGTAACTATTTCTTTTATATGAAAAAATTAATTATTACTTTGTATATGTATAAGTATGTGTGTGTATAAAGGAAGTAGTACTTTCTTTTCAAAAATAAAGACATAAACAGTTAATTTATGTTATAAAGTGAAATATGAGTAATATGAATGTGTAGTTGTGTATTAATGTATTTGGTTAAAGTTATAAACCTGTAATCAAATTCCGTGTATATGATTCTCCCTAAAATTAAATGAGGTATGCCGAGTCTAAAGGTTCAGTACATAAACTTAAGGAGGAAATTTGGCTGACCAAAATGTGAGATAGATGTAATTATTAAAGCATTATCATAACGAGACAACATAGTACAAAAGCCTCAATGGCTTCAGATAACTCTGCCCCTAATCCAAGAGGCAAGTTAGGGGATCCTCTCCAAGGGCAAACTTGAAGGAAATGTAATCCGTGAGTTTTCCATTAGACTTGCTTTGAATATATACACATTACATGCTTATCTTAAGCCACAAATCAAGGGATAGCTATACACCAAAATATATGCTAAGCTACAAGTTAGGAAAATCGAATATATACATATATACTAAGTCAAAGATATATTAATACTAATATATTTTAACACACCCCCTTAGTCGAAGCGGGAGGAGGACGGACACTTAGCGATCTCTGAAATCTTCAAATAATACCCGAGGTAGTCCTTTTGTAAAGATGTCTGCGATTTGGTGCCTAGATGGAACATGAAGGACTCGTACTTCACCTCTAGCCACCTTTTCACGAACGAAAAGAATGTCCATCTCAATATGCTTAGTACGTTGATTTTGCACTGGATTACCCAAAAGATAAATAGCACTCACATTATCACAATAAACCAAGGTTGCCTTTTTAATCGGACAATGCAAGTCCAACAACAAATTACGAAGCCAACATGACTCCGAAACTACATTAGCCACACCTTTGTACTCTGCTTCACAACTAGACTTGGAGAGAGTAGCCTGTCGTTTAGATGACCAAGATATCAAATTATCACCCAAAAACACACAATATCCAGATGTGGAACGTCGCGTATCGGGGCACCCACCCCAATCAGCATCTGTATATGATACAAGTGTAGAAATAGATTATGGATAAAGATGCAAACCATGGTCAAGAGTACCTTGTACATATCGAATGACGCGTGATTTGGGTATTTTTATACCCGGCCAGGTGGCCCAATCGGAAGCCGCCACGTGTCATTAGAAGGGGTGCCATCTAGACCTTTGAGATGGTGACACGTGGTAGGCAGACATTCCCCCGTTCTGAGAAGATTGATGATCCAGCATGGACCATTAAGAGGGTGACACGTGTCACCCTAAGAGATGCCCAAAAGCCTTTTGGGCTCAGTGACACGCGTCACTCAGACATTGCTTATGGAATGGCGGCCTTCAAGGGCCCAAACCTTGAGGCGTCGTTTTACGGCGTGACCTAATCCCTAGGTCATCAGATCCTAGGGAGGGCACACTTTTCAAAAAGACCCTATAAATAGGGACAGTTCCTAGATTTATGACAGGAATACACGCAATACGAGACAACACGTCACTTTCACATTTATTACAAAGCTGTCGTTTTCAAGAAACAGACACCACCTTACCTAAGCTTGGAATCCGAGCAGATAACTTTATTTCTGCACGTTTTACTCCGAATACTTACTAACTTAATCTTCAGAGGCGGACCACCGACCATCCGACGGTCCGTTTGCTTTGCAGGTACAGGCGCCCTTTGCTGAATCAAATCTTAGTGTTGTAACTCTCTCAAGGGATAAAAACCCTCGAAACATTTGGCGCCGTCTGTGGGGAGAGTACCTCTGAAATGGCTTCACAAGTCCCTGTACCGAATCCTAAGACCAATCGGCCTCTAGAAGACATAGTGGTCCAGACGGACCATGACTCAAGGGACGACGCTGACGTCGAAACCTATGTGGATCCTAACGGGTCCCTCATCTCAGGCGGGAGCTTCACATTGAACAGGCGGGGCCAAGCAAAACTGTTGGTCAGCCAAAAAAGACCTTTGTGCGGACGGGTGATCCTTCCCAGGCGGCAGGATCGACTCCCGTCACTCGAGATGAACTCATGAAACTCCTGAGCAGTTTCAGGGGTGAAATCAAACAACTCGCCTCCAAGAAGTCGCCTACTCATAGAAAGGAGCAGTCGGCCAAGAATCCAGCCCAAGCTGGCAAACAGAAGTCGGTCAGGGACCGTCAGCCGACTCCTCATCCTGCCCCTACGGAGAAGGCTCGGCCCCAATTTGACCTCACCAGGCTCCGTTTTCCAGAAGCGGGCACAAGAAAGGCCATCCGGCACATATAGCCGGATGGTAGCAAGAAAACATTCTTTGATGCTCGACAATACATTGAGCAGAAGAAGACCCAGCTATCAGAGTCGGCTTCAACGTCGACCTACCATGATAGCTTTCGGAATACCTCTGTGAGGTATTCCCAGTCTGTACATGAGACCCCAACAAGCAGCCCACGGGTTCAGTCTGGTCCTCATGTGATCCAGTCGGCCCAGTACATGGCTCCGCCATTGTACCAGCCGCCAGCTTTACCTTACTTACAGCCTGCCCTCTTTGGAGGCCAGGCGGCATACGGCTATCAGCCGATGGACTTGCAGCTCAGGCTGCAACACCTTGGAGATCAACCCTCTGCCTTCTCCGGGGAAATAACCGAAGCCGAACAGCCGGCCAAGGTTAAAAATGTTCTGGTTGGAACCTATGATGGGACCTCCAACCCAGAAGACCACCTGCTAGCATACACCAACCTCATGTATTTACAGGGGTTGGATGATGCCGCATGGTGTCGTTGCTTTCCAGCCACCCTGAAGGGCATAGCCCAACAGTGGTTTGGCAATCTGCCGGCTGGTTGTATTAATATCTTCAAGACGCTTGCGTTCTTGTTCGCTTCAAACTTCTCTATGAACATCCCTGCAAAAAAGACAAGCCTTGATTTGGGCAATGTACAACAGGGAGATAGAGAAGGCCTGCGTTCCTATGTCAGGCGGTTCAATCTGGTACGAATCTAGATTCATGGACTGTCTGATGAGGTCGCCTTCACAGACTTCTTTAAGGGTCTGAAGGACGGGTCTACTTTTAAGTATGAACTCGTCCGCAAACAAATTTTCACTTTGTAGGGAGCCTTACGAGAGGCGGAAGCCTATATACAGGTGACCGAACTCTGCTCCTCCAATAAGTAGTCGGACCCTAAGAAGTCCGACCGACAGAAGGAGAGTCGGCCTGCTCAGCCGGCTCCTAAGCCAGAAGAGAGCAAAAAGAAAAAACAAATTTGGGCCATTGATAACTCTAATCAATCGGCCCAGAAGAAGAAAAAAGAGTGGAAACCGTACGTTCCAAGGTACGAGTTCCACAAGGACTGCTGCTCCATCCTCTTGGAAATTAAGGATCGGCTGACTCTTGAGAAGCCGACCCCTATGAAGGGTTCCGCTGAAAATCGGAATAAAAACAAGCATTGCCATTTCCATGAGGATGTCGGCCATGACACGAACGACTGCTTCAGTCTCAAGCGGGAGCTCGACCGTCTGGCCGACAAAGGACAGCTGAAGTCCTATGTGAAGTCCAAAGTGGCTTCAAAGGTAAATCCGGGGCAGTCCAAGAAAAAGACTCCTCAGCCTGCTGTGAGTGCCGAAACTGATGAAGATCCGGTATACACAATAGCAGGCGGATTTGCCGGGGGTGGCCCGACCATTCGGGGCACCAAGGACCATCTGAGAAAGATAGTCAACTCTGTTGAGGAAGGAGAGGCGGTAGGCACATCCACCTTCCCTAAAGTTGTCATCACCGAGCAGGACAGAGGCAAAGTCCGTCGGCCGCATGATGACCCTGTGGTCATTGAATGCAAGGTGGCCAACCAGCTGGTTGGTCGAATTTTGATTGACACAGGAAGCTCCTCGTACCTCATCAGCCTCATATGCTTATCCAATCTCAAATACAAACCGGATAGCATGATGGAGGTCTCCCACACCCTTGTTGGGTTTGGGGGAGGACTTGTGCACCCAGTCGGACGAATTGACTTACATGTCCGCCTGGGGAACAGGGGAGACGGTCGGTGTAGACACCTAAAAATGTCTCCCCAAAACCAAACCCGATGATGAACAACCTTTCACCGCCACTATTGGTCGGGTTTAGTATTTAATCCCGAGAGTGCTTAAAAAATCGTATTTTATTAAATTCATATTTTTGAACAGTCCATGGATTAGTCTTGATGTTTGGTAAAAACATAGTTTTAATTTCAGCCCAAACTTATTAATTAATTTTTAGCCCAAACCTTTTTTATTTTATTGTTTTATTATTTATTTTTGGCCCAAACCCTTTATTTATTTTTATTTAATTATTTTCTTATTTTAGCCCGAATAATAAAAAGTCATAAAAGGCCCGAAATTGTCAATCAGCACTTAAAATGCCGAAGGAAATTATGGTTAAAAATGTATTTAGACGGAAAAACAGGAAGGAATTTCCCGCGCCACGGCAGGTACCTACCGTGTCACGGGAATCCTTCCCGTATGACGGTGGGATTTCCCGTGACACGGGAGGTCTGCCGTGACACGGGACAATCCGTGTCTTTTCCGCGTAAACCCTTGACGCGTTTTCTATCCCGTTTTCTGAAAATTTCCCGCGTCACGCCAAAAGTGTACCGTGTCACGGGAAAGTGTACCGTCTGACGGTGGAGCTTCCCGTGTCATGGGATACTTTTTTAGGGTTTTTATCATTTTAGGGTTCCGTGTGCTCCCTCAGCACATTTTTCCTATAAATACCCCCCTCATTTCTGATGAACGGGGGCACCGAGTAATTCTCTAATTTTATTTTCTCTCTTCTATGCTTTAGCCTAAACACTAGCCTACCCTTTTCACTTCAAAATTCCTTCTTCAAGTACTCAAAGGAGTCCATATTTTACTCGAGGTTCTGTCCTTAAACCAAGGC